AAAAGGAATATTCGCACAGGAAGCAATCGCAAATACTTTTTTTAGGGTAACTTTCGCCGCTTTATTTATCTAATAAAAGTCTGGGATCTCATGTGAGATCACATCGAGTACAAAGTCTGGAGGTACCATGAGCCAAAGCTTACAGCGCTCCTCCCCTATGCCTACTTTAGCTAATTTATGAGCAGCGGATTTTGTTGAACGTTGTACCCACGACACCTTCACCTCGCTGAAGCCACGCATCATCTGTTTGATCTCCTCAACACACGGTCCTGACGCCGAGAGGTTCTTGTCCGGATCTGCAAGCATGCTCGCCACCGTTTTGCTATCCGTCTCAAGGTGTAGCTTATGGACATTGATCTCTCCTGCTAGTTGGACCGCCCTCCTGCAAGCCATCAGCTCCGCCGTCTCGGGGTCCACCTCTCCGTCCCTGAACGTGCAGGCCGCCACTCTGAAGTCCCCATGGTCGCCTCTCGGGATGACGCCGCCACCATTTTTGCCACCATGCCCTGAGACGGCACCGTCGGCGTTCGCTTTGACCCAGCCTGACTCCGGAGCTATCCATCGCTAAGTCTCCCTCGTGTTTGTCGTGGGAGCCTCTCGCTCGTGAACTGCAGCCCATTCCGCCATGTAAGACACAACTGAATCAGCTACCGTGTGTGCCTCAGCTATCTTCCTCCCATCCTTCGCTTCATTTCTCGCAATCGCAAAATACTAACAGCGATATGATAAGTACGTAAAGTGTTGGATGCAGAGCGGGCGGGTCTGCCGGCTAGAGCATACAACTAATTTAGTGTTAGTCTTTCGGTCAGAAGGAAACTAATTTGTTTGTTTTGCGGGATATGCAGGACGCGGCTTGCATCCCTAGACTGCCAAGGGAAGCTTCCTCGTCGTTCATGCTCACGGTGGTGAAGTGGTTCTCAGAGCAATGATCATGTCAGTGGTCTGGTCGAAGAAAGTCGGTGTTGAGGTTGCAAACATGTTAAGAGTTGACCGATGGAGTCATACCCGTTGTATACTATGCTCCCTTAATCTGAAAATACTTGTCATCAAAATGGATAAAAAAAGATGTATCTAGGACTAAGAAATAATTTTTAAAGGCCTACTCTTTCAGATGGTCATGCCTCGCGCGCCTGTCAGGCTAGGACAGCCAAAGCAGGGCATTAAAAGTACCTTACGCTCTATAAGCTGCCGAGATCGAGAGGACACGAGGGGAGCCAAAGGAAGTTGGAAGCTGGAACGGATGCCAAGAGATGAACCGAGTGTCCTCCTCGGAATGAATTATCCTGCTTGCACTAGGGTGTGTCTAGGACTTATTTAGATGTGAAATAACTATGTCACATCTAAGTTGTTTTTCTTAGCACTTGTTTGTTGCCTTTTCTTTCTTTGTTGTTTTTCTTTTTTGTTGTTGTGTATCACAGTGTGATCTTTTTTTTTAATCAGCCGAGGGACACCCAAAGCTTGCACGCATGAGCCAGGTCTAGTGGTCTTCCTTGATCGCTACCTTCTGTAGTTTTTTTTTTCGGAAAAACTTTCAATCTATTCATCTTCAATCATGATAGTACAACGGACACTAGAACTAATAAAAATTACATCCAGAACCGTAGACCACCTAGCGACGATTACACGCACTGAAGCGAGCCGAAGGCGCGCCGCTGTCATCGCCCCTTCCTCAACAGAGTCGAGCAAACATTGTCGTAGAAGACAGTCGGAAAGTCGTCGTGCTAAGGCCCCGTGAAACCAACACACCAGAACAGCAACCGCCGCAGATGAAGAGTGTAGATCAAAAGAATCCAACCTGAAGACACACGAACGAAGACGAACGGGAACAGATCCGAGCAAATCCACCAAAGACAGATCCGCCGGAGACACACCTCCACACGCCCACCGATGATGCTACACACATCACCGGAACGGGAACTAGACTGAGAGACCTTTATTCCATCTTCAGGAAGCCGTCGCCGTCTCGCCTTCCTGAGCAGGACACAAACCCTAACAAAGCTCAAAAAAATATATGAAAGCGGAGCCCTTCCACCGGCAAGGGCCGAGATCCACTCTGCCTCCATGAACCTAAGGCCACCGGAGACGGGACGGACCGGCACCGGCGCCGATGAGAGGCAAAGAACCCTAGTTTTAGGGAGATGGCGGCTCAGTTGCTCAAGCCGGCCGATCGATCGATCAGACCAAGAAAAAAGAGCTTGCTTGGACTATCGTTCGTAGGTGGCCAGTGGCCTAGCTAGCTAGCTAGGTCGCCCTCCTGCTGGCTTTCGGCAAGCTGTGCTACCTCCTGTAGTCTAACGCAGTAGTGCACTTTTTGCTTAAAACAAAAAGCAGTACTACACTTTGTGTTTCTCTTTTTTCCTTTTTATATTTTTCTCTTCCAGGTTTAGTTTTTCTTCTGGCTTTCTTCTAGTTTTTTTCTTTCTTTTTTTTTCTTTTTTTTTGTATTTTTTTTTCTAACATATGTTGAACATACAAATATAGACTGAACATTTTATCATATACGGTCAAATTTTTTTTCCAAATATACACACCCCCTAGTTGCGAGTCGATAGTCGGCATGTAACTAGGGACCCTCAAGGAACACACACATCCTTAGTTGCGAGTCGATGGTCAGGTTGCAACTAGGGGCCACAACAAACAAACGCCCCTAGTTGTGAGTTGATGGTCGGCATGCA